GGGGGGGGGAGTGATAGAAATTTTATATGTGCAGATCTTAGAAAATCAAGGCTACAGATATGTCCCCCATAAGGGGAATGTTGAAAAAACAAAGTCTATTGGAATATAATTTCAAAAATCCATAAAATGTGAAACATGAACTGCAATCTTTAAGGATGGTTAACAGCTTCTAAATCATATTTGTCTTACCAGTCCTGTGGAACATTACAGAAAAAGTTTCAAAGCTAATACATTTCACTATCCCAAAAGATAATTGCTGTTTTTAAGCTTTTGGTGCCCAAAGAGGAGAAAAACATTCTTCTAGTGCTAAAACATTTAGTAAGCTTTTTTTCTTTTGTTAACCATTTAAGGAACCTTTGTCCTTTCTTTTTATATGTTTTGAAATATTGTCTAGATAATTGCATAAAAAGATGGCTAATGTGACTATTGATCATGATCTTTATCTTCCCCTTATTGAAAGTTTATTTTTAAAAAGTAACAATAATACATTCCTTGGTTTAAAATTCAAAAGATTTAAAGGATACACATTTTCAAACCCTAACCACCCAGTTTTCCTCTGGCTTATCAGTTTCTTGTATTCTTCCCAAAGACTTTTATAAAGATGCAAGAAAATGTTAGCATTGAACACTTATTCACCTTGCTTTAACTATATATGTTGGAAAAACTTTCCGTATTTTTTTTTTTTTCTGAGATGGAGTCTTGCTCTTTCACCAGGCTGGAGTACAGTGGCACAATCTTGGCTCACTGCAACCGCAGTCCCCCGTATTCAAGTGATTCTGCTGCCCCAGCCTCTGAGTATCTGGGACTACAGGCTACACACCACCACACCTGGCTAATTTTTTGTATTTTAGTAGAGATGGGTTTCACCATTGCCAGTATGGTCTTGATATCCTGACCTCATGATCCACTTACCTTGGCTTCCCAAAGTGCTGGAATTACAGGTGTGAGCCACCACGCCCGGCCAAAAACTTTCCATATTTTATGGGAAGAAGAAAGCTTTTCCTCTACCCTTTCATGTTCACTATCCAAGGGCCTATAAGTTAAACTGACAAAAGAAAGACTAACAGGAGAAAAAGGTCAATTTCTTATGTATAAGAAAGCCAATAAAAGCAGCAGCTAGCTACTCAAATGATTAAAGGCTTACCTAAGTAACTTAGTAGGGAAAATGGTGGGGGAGAAATAGCTTTTACCGGAAAAGAACAGAAAAATTGACTTTTAAGAGAACAAATAGGAAAGTTTGTGTTCATGTTCGTCTATACAGTTAGGAGTGATGTTTCCAGCTTCTTCAGGGCCATAAGTTAGGGGATTTATGGTAGCACCATTTCCCAGAAATTTTGCTTTTAGTCAGATAAGGAAATCTCTGAGAAGGCTTTTTCTCCCTCTTCATCTGTTGAATCTCAAATGCCTTCAGCTTAAAATAATCTTTTTATACCAGCTCTGGGGTTCCTTGTTGGTCTCTGCAATATCAGCATACAAGGAGCATCCTTTTTTATAGATGGCCAAATTTTATGTGATTTTATGACTATAGCATTATTTAATCAGTATCCTTTGATTTTTTTTCCTAATTTTTCTCCGTAACAAATACTGCTCAAATAAATAACCTTGGACATAAGCATATGTCATCTATAGGTAGGAACTCAGTGTGAATATATGCTGACTATCTCAAAGTGGAGTTACTGGATCAAAGGACATGTGCATATGGATTTCCATAGCCATCTTGTTTCAATAGACATTCCTAGCAGCGTATCCAGAATCTTGTTTCAGTTGATGTACATATTCACTAGTGAGTTCCCTAACTTTTCTCTATTTTACAGTAGAATAACTTAATGATGTCACTCCTCAAAGTTTCTTTTCTTTTTTTTAAATTCATTATTATTTTAATTTTTTTCTGGGGGGGGGGTCTCACTATGTTGTCCAGGCTGGTCTTGAACTCCTGGCCTCAGTGATTCTCCTGCCTTGGCATCCCAAAATGTTGGGATTA